ATTCCGCGCTCGGTGATAGCAGACAGTCGCGGCTCGCAGATTATTCCGCGCTTGGATGCAAATGGGTTAACAGTGTCTACAGATGAGGAAATAAAAATCTCGAAGGCCAAGCGTTCGACAGATCGAGAAACTCTGTCTCTAGTCCCTAGAAAAAATCGAAAGGAAAGTTGATCTCTCGGTAACTATTTACCATTTCCTTCCGCGGTCCTTCGTCTATCGGCTCGAACTTGAACAAAAGCGATTTCTTCTCGGTGACCTTAGCTTTGCCCTGTTTCCGCGTGAACTCCGCCACCACTCTCACCATGTCGCTGGTGTAATTGTCGCCGGCGGCGGTGGCAGGTTTCGCAGATACATCGATCACTTTGATGGTGCTGTCGACCTCGGCCAATTGTATCACTTTCTCGGTGAAATCGGCGTTCAGCCATGCCACTGTCTCGTAGGCCATTTCTGAAATTGCAATTCGAATTGGAGAATTCCCACTCGGCGGGGATCATTGTACTCGGCAGCGCGGAAACGATTTCTTTACACAGAAAACTTATTGTTCACGGCCTTCTTCCCCTCCTCCCCCGCTCCGCCGATCTTCACAATCTTTTCGTCACAATCTTTACGTTCGTCCTTTTCTTTTTCTCTCCCTACTACTACACACGAGTCAACATTCACGACTCTAGATATTCGCGCGAATCGGTTTCTCGCGTTTCGGAGATGGCTGTTTCAATTAAAAACGTAACGAGAACGGAGGCGCATTTCCACGCGACGCAGCGCGTTTCACTGTGCGATGAGATCCCATCGGAAACGGGATCGAGCCGTGGTGTTTTAAGGAAATTTACGACCGGTCTCTCTGGAATGCGCGGAACAAAGGAACGCGCATCCCCCCTTTTTTTATTCCCCTCCACTTCTCGGTTTACTTTCTTTCTCTCTCTTTCTTTCTTTCTTTCTTTCTTTCTTTTTCCCTTCCCCGAACACGACGGACGTTCCCGAAGGACTAGAGAAACTTTCGGCGCTCGGCGAGTTGGCCGACGTTTTCGGAGAGATTTAAATCAGAGCCAGAGCGTGTACGTACGCACGGGAACTGTTAGCCACGGGTAACAGAAGCTTTCGAACTCGCTCGCTGCCGCCCACTGCGACATTCATGCTAATTTTTAGAAAATATTCTGCCGGAAGCGCGATGAGAACGCGTATTTAAACTTGTTGATCTGAGAGATTGAAGTACAAGAGGTAGGAGAACATTTGTAACGCGTACAAGCTCTCGTCCATATATTTTAGCGAAAATCATTCGAGCGTTCAAAAGTACAGCAGGCTGATTACATTTTTTCTTCTGGTACTTCATCACACCTTCTAGAAAAATTTCGCCGAGGCGAACGAAAAGCGAGAACGTTTGTGAACACGGTGAATGTGTCCGCGGCAGTTTAGAAACGTGGTTCTAGCGTTATTAGTCGAAATTCCTTATCGACGATTGATTCGTCTTATTTGAACTCCTTATTACTTCTGTAGGTAAAGTAACCTGAAAAGAACATCAGCCACTCTCGACGAGTGGCAGTCATCGTGTTAACGCTTGATCGCGAGTGAGCGTACAGTTTCAACGATCGCACGTAAGAAAATTCGCAGCGGATAGATAAAGAACGAAACGTTGTACACATTGACGAATTGCTTTGAAATTGATCGACTGAGAAACAAGAAAAAAGAAAAGCAAAAAAAAAAAAAAAAA